TTTTGACTTTGTTAGATATACAATACCTAATAGATACTATACCGGAAATAGAGTTTTGATAAACATGCGCCCAATTAGGTCTACAGTGAATATCCTGCTAGCTCTGTGCAACATATGAATAGCGGCCATTATAGCGAACAGGGTGAAATTTTGACAAGGCTGTAGTAGCTCTCAGCTTAAGTGCGATCACTCCATTGCGATCACCAGTTGCATATGGTTTGCGAATAAGAACAATTAATAAGTTTCGAACGTAACTCTCATGCAACAGAGTGTGAGGGGCGTTCGATACTAATGACCACTGTCATTTTCGGAACCATACACAACTGGTTATGGCTGAGAGCACCTTTTGGTTTACTGTCCCGATTCAACAACTGAACGCTGCAACATTGAAAGGGAAACCAAGTTTGGCCACATCACTAGATGTATCCTGTAACAAATTCATCAACAAGGACATTATCATCAAATAGCCGAAAGTACAAATGCAGATTCCTTCCCCGTTCAATATCTTTATGAAAACGTCAGAATAATATACAGAGTGTTAATATAAATTTGTCTTGTGAATGGAAGTTATGCACTGAAAACGCAACAAAGTCTGTTTGCAATTCTTTCAGAGAGTAACATGTGTTTGAATGAGTTGTTGTGGTTTCTTTGTACTTCTCGAGAGCATTGTCAAACGCAAGTATTATATTCTTACGTTGTACAGAGTGTACAATACAATACGCTACTTCACAAGAAAACATAATAATTGTTGAATTTTTTGGAAAAAAAGCGAAAAAGAAATGTTTTGAAAGGGCGTATTTATTCAGTGAACTAAACTCTAGAATAATACAGGCATGATAAACTACGTGGTTTGCAACAAAAACTCCTCATGCACCTGAGCTGAACGATTGATCACTCAACTCAACTCTACATTTAAGTTTTCAGCTAAGGACATTGTCGACAACTGCACTATACATCATCCATTCAAAAATACAGCGTGTACTTTACATTACTAGGTCTATCTATATAATGAATGAAAGCCTACTGATTAAAAAATATAGGTATATCAAAAAAAAATGATATGAGATATTTGAGCTCTCAGAAAAGGATACATCAACCCGTTTTCCCCCTGGCAGTGATACGGGTAAGAGGGACTGACATGGAAAAAGCGTCTAGTCGTTCAGATGGGACAGAAACCGAGACCCCGTGTGCTACAGGCTGTGCACGTTCAAGATCCCACGACAGTTGGAAATCGAAAATGAGCAGGCTAATGCCGCTGTCCTGGCAAAATTTCCCTCATTGCACCCTGCATGGCTTTGCCCGTCTTTATTAGCCCACAAGGTGCAGAATAGTAGGACGTAAAACTCCATTCA